AAATACAGGGTTTCGGTCCTTAATAAAATACACATAAATCTATTGACATCTCTTTGTTCTTTTATCTTTTCTTCACTTTTATAACAATTTTGTGTGTATATATATATATATATATATATTATTTTTTTACTTGTTAACTAAATCTATGATATGGAAGGTTTAAGGATTGTTGTGTGTACAAAAAAGGTGATGTAGTCAGAATTGTTATAAATAACACTTGGCGATTTTTCTATTGGAAAATGGCTAAAAAAAAGAAGAAGTGAAAATAGATCAAACAGATTATGAGTCTAAGGTTCCCTACCCTGAGGGTGGTATCGTGACTCACTTGATGATATTACTACATCATCCTCTTAAGACCCGATGTTTAGGGTGATGCTTCAATATAGATCCTTTAGTTGACCTTACTAATCATAGGTCAACCATGACCCTTCAAGGGCCATGACCTTTGAGGTCATTTCGCATGTCTTCCACAAGAACGTTATAGGATCAACCCCTATAGATTGATATACCTTAGGAACGGGCTACAGGCCAGTGTGAGGTTTGACCTCGAGCATGACATCGATCTTGCAAAAAGTCCACCTAATTGCTTAGCACTTGCGGAAGATAGTAAAAAACTTGTGTTCCTAGTAGTTCACCCCGATCTTGTAGGGGACTCTATATTGGTAAATGACTCTGACCTCTATAGACCTACGTGCCTGGTAGGGGGCCTTGGACCCTTATAGACATACAGCCTTGGGAGATAATCAATCGTCTATATACCTGCATCCTTGGTATGGACCTCTATAGACTTACCCAGTAGCGAAGTCACTAGGGCCTACTACTCTTCAACTAAAGTAGATTATTCTTATTACAACTCAAACATACAATTTTATTAGGATGATTGTACCTCATTTCCATCCTCCTTCTGTCTTCATCTTCTAGACGAGCTTCTTCCTCTTTTCAGGTTGATGAGTGAAGGCTTCTCCCTAAGGCTACCATAGTGCCATGAGAGAGCTAGCCGAGGAAGAAGAGGGGGAGATTAGCAAGGGGCTCTCCATCTCTAGAAAGATCGTGTCTAGGATTTGGTGATCTAACCGTGATGGCACCTTAAAAATTGTTGGAAGTTGCCTGCCAGCCTGATTATAGATGTTCATCTAGCTATCCAAGAAGTCCAAGGTGTACAAGTCCACTCTTTGATAAAAGCTATCCCCTTTCATTTATTGTTCCCAACTCAGGACAGTAGCTTTGCTCAGCATATCCAGACGCATGCTCACCACTGCCTGTATCTGATGGTGCTCATCTCAATCTTCCTATGTCCATAAGAATCCTAGGTCCATTAGATCATGAATGAACCACATGGGTCCTAATCTTTTGAGGATTATACCACATACTATTGTAGATGTACATCGCATGCTCATTACATGTAAGCTTTGCATTAGTTAATTTATGGCTGAACAATTGTATTCTATCCATCTAATTTTATTAAGTATCGAAGGGACTAGACCCCATATCTCTGTTCTTGATTTTAGCTCTAGTCCATACAACTCGACCTTGGTATGATTTTCGACATCACCAGGTATATATATGAGCATAACTTGAATGAAAAGTTTTGAATTCTCATATGTAAAGCTCAAAAATCATTCCACTTATCAATTGGTATGGGCAACAATGCTACTCATTGATAACTGCAATTGATAACTGCAATTGCAACAAAATCTCCATTGTGTCAGGAATAAAAAGCAATAGTATTTGATTAATATAGAGCATGTCTCACTAAGTTTTGAACTTTTGATTGGGTAGTGATTAGTATATTATTTATTTAAAATTGTTAAAAGAAATATAGTTATAAGAAAAAGTATTCTCATTCTTAATCTTATTAACATGATCTATGTTAAGGGATAAATTTCATATCTAGTAAAGATGAGAATATACACCAATATATAAAGATTTGTGTTACTACTTTTAATAAGGTTGACCTTTTAAGATGGAATCTTAAATCTTAATATGGAATTAGAGCCCATTTAGCTCAATGAGAAATTCGATTCAATTAAGACTAAAAAAAATGAGTACACGAATGTCAAGATGGTGGCTCATTTGCGTTGTATGTTAAGGGATAAAATTTCATATCGAATACAGATGAAGACATACACCAACATATAAGGTTTGGGTTACTCCTCTTAATATTATATATATACACTTAATCGACAATGACTCCATACCGGGTACAACAAACAAGGTGTCGATCAAACAACTAGCAGCCTTATTGCTTACCCCCAAAACCTATTGGAGCTGACACTTGTTTGGATGCTTTGAGTTGTCGGGTGGTGGTATGCTCTCTTCTGCCTAATTCAAACACTTGTTAGGATGTTTTGAGTTTGTAGGGTGGTTCGCTCGTCTCAAGTTCCAGCCAAATGAGAGCTCGCAGACCTAAATGAATATATTTATAAGCCCAGAATTTATAGATGATTTAATTTATAAACATATAAAAATAATTGTTGGATAAGTTAATAATGTTGGAGGAATTTTGTGAAAGTGACGCCAAAATAAGTATAATGATAGTTTGTAAATCCGTGCCGAAAATTGGACAGAGTACAAACAAGAAGAAGAAGAAGAAAGTAGGGACAAAGCCGAGGCAAGAGTTGGACTCTTTGTGCTTAAGTCGAATTTGCCCCGCAACAGTGCCTACGGATTTCAGCAATCGACTCCAAAGATACAACGGCTACACTTGTGTTTGTAGCACTCCAAAACACAAGTACAACGAACCAAATTTAGGCTTATGTACTCCAAGGATGAAATGAAGGAAAATCAAAATAAATGAAATGATTTTGATTTTGGATAGAAGAGAGGATGAGAGATGTTTTGCATATCAAATTGTGAGGAATAGGATACCCAAAGGGTCCTATTTATAGACCATGAAAGGGTGTGGACGAAATGGTTGAGGCCAAACCATGCACCCTTTCCAAACAATGTACCTTTATGAAAAGGTGTCTATTCACTAATGGTTGAGGCCAAACCATGCACCCTTTCCAAACAATGTACCTTTATGAAAAGGTGTCTATTCACTAATGGTTGAGGCCAAACCATGCACCCTTTCCAAACAATGTACCTTTATGAAAAGGTGTCTATTCACTAATGGTTGAGGCCAAACCATGCACCCTTTCCAAATAATGCACCTTTTGACCGGGCAGGTCGATCCCCGATTGTGCGCCCCGAAGCGGCGAAGTGGCAAACAATTTTGCCTAAACGGATTGAGTCGAGCTTTTGAGTATTTGGCCGAAATCGATACGAAGTCACTTTAATCGATTTTCAATTCTCGATTTATTTAACCAATATCCAACAAATAATATTTATGAATTCATTAAAATGTGTATGTAAAAATAAAATTGACCATTTATAAATGATAAAATTTGCTAAACAAACCTAAAATATTAATATCATGAATTTCAGGGAAATTTGCAACAAAGGTCCCAAGCTTTTCATTTTGTTGTAGAATATACATTAACCTTTCATTTTATGGTCGCAGCCCCAAACCTTTCACTTTAATAGCAATCGGAGTCCAAATGACAGATTCCATCCAAAATGCCATTAGTCAACACGGATATTGGAACTTTGACTCAAATTGACAAATTAAGTGAATGACAAAATGGTAAATGAACATTTTCTCTAATAGAAGTATAGAACAACAAATCAAAAAATTAAATAAAATTCAACAAAAATGAAAAAACAAAAAATTTCATCTTCCCCAAACCTCCACCCATCCTAAACACACAGACACACACACACAAAAATAAAAATAAAAACGTACAAAATCGGTGACGGTCGACTAACAACCCGATACTCATCTTCTTCACATATCAATACAATGATTTAAATGTAGATTTGATATTGATTAACATAATGAAATCATTAAACGGAAGATTACATAAGCCCTATTTCTCATCTTCTTTCTTTTTCTTCTCTTATCTCATTTTCAAATGAACATTCAACTTCCCCATGATAAATAACTTGTAATTCTTCCACTTTTGAAAGAACAAAAAGAAGCCCCAAGACCAGCAAGATGAAATGAATAAAGGATATGATTAGCAGCTTTATAAATTACCCAGGTCCAAACAAACTAGATTCAAGAAACGCACTTTAATCTAAGTACAACAAATAGCAAAAATTGAAAGAACGCAATTACAAGAAAATGAAATGAACTTCAATGAAATGCATCAGCAAATCTGCTACAGAGTGTGAAGCTACAAATTCAACTCCTGTAACAATATTTGGAGATAAAATGGGACCCACCTCCTCAAAATCCCTGTAAGAATCAGTCTCTCTAAGGAGTGGTCGTCGGTCGTCGATTCTATAATTTTTTATTTTTTGGGACGGGTGGGCGTGGGGGGTTTTGGGGAAGATGAAGTTTTCTGCTTTTTTATTTTTATATTTAATTATTTGAATTGTTATTTCGATGTATTGATGTACGCTCCTCCCGATATTGCTTCATTTAACCCCATTCACTACCCATGATGACAGGACCCCCTCGGCCAAGGAACCGACCCGAAAAGAGCGATTCCTATCCCTGGATATCTACCACCTCTTACAAATCAAAATGGGCTAGCTAAGGAGCTGCCCCGAATCAAGTAGACCGAGTGCTACCCCTGTCCACCGACCCTGGCTCAAACCTTTACGTACAGCCTTTCCCGGAGCCTAGCTTGACAGAAGAACACAGAAATGTGTACCTACACGTTTTATATCTATTTCTGCTTGGAAATGTTTATTAACTATTTCGTCCTTCATTTAATTCGTCAATTTTAGTCAAAGTTTCAATATCAGTGTTGACTAACGGCATTTTGAATGGAATCGGTCATTTGACTCATTTGGACTCTAGTTGTCATTAAAGTGAAAGGGTTGGAACTGCAGTCACAAAAATAAAAGGTTAAGGTGTATTTTGTAATAAAATAAAAAATTTGGAACCTCTGATGCAATTTTCCATTAATTTATAATTGAAAGGAAAGAAAAAGAGATCAGTCATATTTGGATGTAATGGTGGGGATTATTGATTATTTTGAGGAGTCTCTTAACTGTCAATTCTCCCTCGCTCCCTCCTCCCTCCCTCCCTCTCTCTCTCTCCTCTCCTCTCCTCTCCTCTCCTCTCCATGGCTGAAGGCACCTCTTCCAAACCCTAAAAGATTCATCAAATCTATGCGTTTTTACATTATCCTAAATATGAGATACACTATACAGTTTCTGTTTTTGGAATGATACCAGGACCTGTTTGTTGTATTGCTCATAGAGAGACAGAGAAGAAGAATAGCATTATCTCTGGGTCGGGTATTGAAGGTTTCCGTATCGGGGTGAGCTCGATGATGGTTTCTGATCCTGATCTGGTACAGTATGCCTGCATTGCAAAGGGAACAACGGTCCTCGCTGAATTCAATTCCAGGGATGAAAGCCTCGGATCAATCGCCGCGAAATGCCTGGAGAAAACGCCGCCGTTTCATTCCACCTTCACTCACACCGTTAGGCGTCAAACCTACAGCTTCCTGATCCACGATCCTTTTGCTTATTTCGCCATTTTTGATGAAAATATGGAGAACTTTGAGGGGTTGGCATTTCTGAGAAGGGTGAAGGAAGCTTTCGATGTGGTTTACAATGGGGATTTGGGGAAAAGGAAATTGGAACGTTTGACTTCCCATTGTTTTCAGGGTGAATTTAATCCGGTTTTCCATCAATTGGTGGGTCCTGGGCCAGATATGGACAGCCCGGATTCGCCGGTCGGGGGGCGATTAGTGGAAAGCGGGGTTATGTATTCCGATTCGGGTTCTCTGAGGGGAAGACCAAATGGGGATTTTGGAAAGAGCTCGAAGAAGAAGAGGCTATTTGGTGAATTCAAAACGGGTGATGGCAGAAGGGTAAATGGGAGAAGAGATTTCGAGAAGAAGCTTGATAAGAACAACAATGATGATCATGAGGGGGGAGACGGAATCGGAATGAGCCGGGAGTATTCGCTTGTAATGCACAAAAATGGGTTGTGCTCTGGAGAATTAATGGGACACCATAAGGCTAAGAAAGTCTGGAAAAAGCAAGTTTGGGTTGTTTTATCGCTCGATTTGTTCGTTTGTGCTATCTTGTTCATCGTCTGGTTGTGGGTTTGCCGAGGCTTCAAATGCATTGACAGTTGAATTTTATTCAGAAAATTGTGTGTTCTTCGATCCATCTTGATGATCTGCTGTTGAAATGGAGTGGCAGATTATGGTGGCGAAGGTACCGCTGTAATATAAGGTTAGTCTGGCTTATGCTGGTAATGTTTTGAGTTTCCTTTATGACAACATTAAAGTCTGTAATAGTAAAAGGATAAGATGATGTGGTTGTTATGTCTGTACACTATTTCATTGGATGCTTTAAGATTGCGTATAAAACATATTATAGGATTAAAGATTGTGCCTTTATAGTGGTTTAATTGATGTAGTATATTTAAATTAAGCGCCGTTTTTTAATAGATTTTGATAAAAAGTGAAGAAATGTGAACTTGAATTTTAGTCGAAATTTTAAGATGAATCCGGCGGGTACTTAATATCTCGACGAAGACATGCTATAAATTGGTTATTGAATCTTTATGTTTTGCCAGTGTCAAGGAGAGGGTGTTTGGTTCATTGTTAGATCTTCGATCGAACTACAACATGCTATTTTAATTTCAATCACGCTTGGTCTATATCTATCAAATTTGACAGTTGCAAACTGTCATTTGACTATTTTTTTTGAAAAAAATAAAATTTCCGTCCAATCATTTTTTACAACCAAACAAGTGTCAAACGTACACTTTGGAGTGTACAAATGTCATTTTTCTTTTAATTTATGTCTATCCCTACTTGTGTCCTTTTCCAACTTGGTCCGTTGAAATCATATCACTTCTATTAAGAAGCCTCTTTGGATATTATGGAAAACGTGTCAGGATTATCATTGAATATATTCTTAACCAGTGCCGACTCTTCCTCTTTTTGTCGTATATTTCCATTTTGAACAATGTTACAAGTACAACAATTTTGACATTATATTTGACTTTTCTATCACGTACAAAAAATGGGACCAACGATTAAAATAATGGTGGTTCTGTAATTGTGAGAGGACCGAATGTAATTAAACACATCATCCGTTTTATCTTATCCGTTTTAGTACGCCGTACTAGCATACTAAAAATTATGTACATTTTTGTTCTTTAGCGTCCTTAAAATATTCACATTTTGGTCATGATTAATTGAGTGTACATTTTTTTTTTAACAATATCCTGCGTACAGGGCACTGTTCTACAGGGGGCTTACAGGCCCCTTCACTGTAGTTGCAAGTCGATTCCACCGACCTGTATTCAAAGATAAATAAAAATTGTGCAGACCCGCCCTTGTGTCTGCCCTGATCGACCTCCGTAATTGCCCCCTGTACGTGAAGCGCGATTGTTTATTTATTTATATCTCAGTGCAATAAAAGATCGCTTTATCATTTTCCACACACGTGCTGTACTTTTTAATAAACAACTTTATATGCTTTAGAAACCCAAAAATACCCTCACAATTCTCCTACAATTTCATCTTCTTCGTCGTCCATTTTGATACCCTTGACCCACCTCCCTAATTGTGCCGAAAAAAATTCCCCTCTCCCACCCATCAATTGGCGAGGATAGTAATGGCTGCCTCGACTCCCTTGCAATCCCTACTAGAGGCATTCTTTGCTTCCATTTGAGTTAAATGGTAGCGAGTTTCATACTCTCCATGACTACGAGGGAACTTTGTGAATAGTGTGCCACCATTTTTTATGATCTCATCACATCTCAAGGTGCAATCCAAATTTTTTTGGTTCTTGGTAAGACATTTAGAAAATGTTTGTATGATCGACTAGACACATAATAAACAAATATTTCACACGGGTCTCTTCCTTATTCTTGCAAAACCATAGTAGTAATACTAACAATTATCAAAGTTTTCATAACGAGTGCAACACAAGCCCTCACCTCTGTAAATAATTTCACAAAATGTCACCTGTAATTGACATCCTGATAAAGAATTCAACCTATCATCCGGAGTTTTTTTATCGTCTTTGTTTGATCCCCATTTTTTTTTTCTAAATACATCCTCTATATTATTTTCAATCACACATTCTTCAAAAAATAATATTATATGTAAATTCAAAATTTTTCCTTATTTTTTAATTACTCATTCTTCATTAATCTACTATTTTAAAATGCATTCTACACAAAAAATGGGGCTCAAACAGGTAAACACTGTGCTTACTCCACAAAAGATGAACACATTGTTTGTGCTCTAAAAGATTACCTCTATAAAGTAGATTTATCTTTCTAATCAATCAAAACCACTTCCTAAATTGTACAATCTTCTTCCAAAGAATACTGTTTTCTGGATGAGGACGACGATTAATTTCTTGCATTCTTCTCCTTGTGCTGTGCTCTTCACTACACGACTGGCTCTCTTCCTCATTATCAACGTATTGTTGCTTGTTTGAAGTCGAACACGACCGTCTGCCCAAGAACATATAGAATGTGGCACTTACAGTGTAGTTTCCATTAGTTCACTGTCAGAACGTAGCAACCTTAACTTTGTCTAAATGTCACTCTTTTCATTAGCCATTACCTTTCCATATTTCTTGAAAGGGTGAAGAGCAATAGCGATCCACTAAAGGAGTGTAATCTAAACAGTAGCAACAGAAATTCCAATTAATCAGTTGATACGCATTGAAAAACTCCGGCAATGACACTAGTCCACACACCTCGGTACTAGGACAGAGGACCAGAAGTGAAAAGGTACGATTTAGTGGATGGTTGCCTAGCACAAGCCGTTCATGGAACCACTAACAAAACTAGGCTTACTCGTTGAAACAATTCGAATTGGAGAATTTTCAATCTTTTCCAAGAGTCAATTTGAGGCTATAAACTTTGGTCCCTGTATGAGTTTGCTAAAAATCAAATTTTTAATAGATCTTCATAAAAGTTAATAGATTATTGATCACATGACATGTGTAACTAAAATTAATTATTGACTTTGACTTGATTTTTTAACTTTTTTAGCTAACTCAAACAAGGGGTTTAGTATCATAATAGTTGTTGAGCCTTGAAGACAATGGTGATGGAGAAATCGGAGAACAAGAAGCTTTGATGAGAGTGGTAGTAGTGGTGATGGTGGCGTGGAAGGGGGGAGAAGAAGGGGAAGTGTGGCGGTGGAAATGAGTTGGTTGGGAAGATAAATTTTATTTCCCTTTTTACCTTTTTTAATATATTTTTAATTGCTTTAAGTGAGACTCATTCAAACTTTTGAAAAAGATTTGAAACTCGGGCTACAATTATTATTTTTCTTTTTTGTTCTTTTTTCTTTTCTTTTTGTATACTTAAAAAGGGTAGATTTGTCATTTTACAAGGTATTAACAGAGGAATTAGATGGTGAAGACACGGACAAAGAAATGTTGATTCAAGGGCGCAAATATCAAGATAGAAACAACGAAGACGATTTGCGCAATGAAAACAAACATTAAGCGCATTCTACACCAATTTCCAAAAATTTCATTTGAAAAGCCTCCGTACCTCTTCAAATATCTCGAAACATATCTAATGCTTTAACGAACCGCTAAAAATATTTGCCACATAAGCAAATTGAGCAATTTTTGTTATTTTTTTTAAAAATATCTTCTCTCTAATATTTGACCTACATGACAATTCATAGAAGAAGACGCTCTTATTTCCACTTATTAAAAAGATGATATATTGGTCTAATTCATATTTCTCTGTCATATTTTATTCTCCCATCACCAATCCCTTCTCCCATCTCGTCCTAATTCACCTTTCATCCATCCTTACTTTATGCATCAGGTTTGCTTGATGCCTAACATTTCCAAAGTCATATGCTTGGATATTCTCGTTGGTTAAGAGTTAATATAATTAAGATAGAATAATGATAATTTGACAGAAGAACTCGGCTAGATGCAATGACAGAAATATCTTGGTGGGACTTGATTGGATGGGATAGCTGACAGTGTTTAAACCAAACTAATGATGAAATGTTACGTAGCATTATATCAATCATTGTGTCGAAATTTCTATTCTTGTAGCATGATTGAGATAAGACATCAACAGCAGCTCCATTTCACCTATACTGATCGTGGTCCGTGTCAATTTGACTGATTGGGTTGACAGGACATAATTAGTATCAATTGTGACTACTTTGAAACAAGGCCACAGAAAATTATAATTAAAGCTAAAATGGATGCTACTTTAATTTCCTACACTATTGGAAGGTAGTTTTGTAAAATTCATTCTTCTAAAAGCCAGAGTTAATTTTATTAAGACTTCTATAGACCACTGGGCATTCCCCTGTAATGTCCAACTGGAACTCATGTTTTTTACTTTCATGATTCCTACCCTCAGGATGTTGAGGTTGTCCCACATCGGTTGTAGGTGGAGTTAGTATTCAATTTATAAGTATAAGGGAAAAATCTCACCTCTTGAACTAGCTTTTGGGAGTGAGAGAGGCCCTTTATCACCCGACACTAGTTTCAGAGCCTGGTCTATCAGCAAGTCTCCGGCCCAACAATCATGGAGATATGGGTTTGTGTGAGGGGGAGCCGAATTTGGTCTCCTGTAGGTCTCGTTGTGTGAGGGGGAGATGGATTTGGTCCCCCTTAGGGCCTGATGTATGGAGGGAGACGTGTTTGATCTCCCACAAAATCCAATATGTGAAGGGGAGATTGTTGAGGTTGTCCCATGTCGATTGTGTGCTGGGTTAGTATTCATTTTATAAGTATGAGGGAAAGTCTCACCTCTTGAATTAATTTTTGAAATGAAAGAGGCTCAATACCATCCAACACAGGAAGTTTGAAGCAATTTGTAAGAAAAGCTCATTTCCTAATTTCCTGTAGGAGTCAGACCACCGAATTCTGGACAGGAATGGTCAGTAAATATAATGGCCTAATGTGACAATTAAAATGAGCACAGTCAATGTGAACTGTGAAGTGACCCAGTTAAGATATATTGAGAAACGCCACCGCGAAAATTTCAATAACCCATACTCATTTGTGAAAGTTGGACAGCAGATTGAACAACAAAATCACAAAAACTCGCCCCTCAGGGCACTTCTTCACTGGCAAAGGACGGACGCTGTCAAACCTGGCAGAGCAGAGGTCGTGAGTTCGAAACATGAGGCCCTTGGAAGGCAAGAATTTATTCTTGGAAGGCAAGGGAACATTTGGAAGGCAAGGATTATTCTTGGAAGGCAAGGGAACATTTGGAAGGCAAGGATTATTCTTGGAAGGCAAGGGAACATTTGGAAGGCAAGGATTATTCTTGGAAGGCAAGGGAACATTTGGAAGGCAAGGATTATTCTTGGAAGGCAAGGGAACATTTGGAAGGCAAGGATTATTCTTGGAAGGCAAGGGAACATTTGGAAGGCAAGGATTATTCTTGGA